ACTGTTTTCAAGTGTGAAACAAATGTTACTTATGTTTCTTAATCAGGGCATCTTCCGTCCAATCAATTTTTGTTTTAATACTGAAATCTGAAAAATGAAAAATCTCTTCATCAAACAGCCAGATTAATGAATGGCTTGACACAAACCATACTGAAGCAGAGCCTTTTGGCCCTAGGCATGCCTGTTTTATTATAGTTATCCACCCATTAAAATATGTGTGGCAAAGCTGCGCGATGCACTGCAGCGTGGGGAGAATTTTAAGGACTATTATTATGTTGTAATGTTTGGTTGACCAATTAGCAGAGAGGGGCGTTTTATTCCCGCCCACATGTAGAGATCGAATATTCAAGTTGTTTATTCGTTTTCTATCCCTGAATGTAAAAACGAAAAATTAACCCGGATTCTTGATTTTTCGTTTTGTTTGAATAATTGAAAAACGAAATATGTGCCCGTTTTTCATTTTTCAGATTTCAATATTAAAACAAAAATTGATTGGACGGAAGATACCCTGATTTTTCTTGAGCACCAAATCAACAGTGATTTCTGAAGAGTCATGTGAAACTGAAGTCTGCTAGAAAATGTAACTTAAAATAAAATAAAAAATTAAATACACTTCGCCACCTTGGAATTATAAGGTTATGTCTGCATTCTAAGCAGTTTTGAGATAATGAGCTTCAAAGTTTTTGCGTTCCTTAGACTTCTGTAGATAGAACCCTTTTTGTTTTCTAAAAAAAAAAGGCCCAAAATTTACACAGCTTGCAAAAGAAACATCACATAATGTAAATAAGTTACCACAGAATAAGAAAATGTGAATAACTCCATTTTGACAAAAATGTCAGATAGAACCTTATAATTCCAAGGCAATGATTTGTAATAATATTTCACAATTTTATAATTTTTACTGTATTTTTGATCAAATAAATGCTGCCCTGATGAGCATAAGAGAAGATATGTCATCTTAACGGCCCCACACTTTTGAATGGTGTACATTCAACTGCATTAAACAACTTTGGTTAGTTTTAAAAATGTTAATTGTTAAATATGAGATATAATATGAGTCTAAGGGTATTTCTGAAATCAACATGTCACCGGAGTCGAGTGCTCAGCACTGCAGGCAATGAAACTGTGTCATTTTTCAAAGTCTCACTGCCCCAAATGAGATTCTTTTGTCGATGTTGTTTTAAAGGTTTTGTAACAACATTTTTTCCCACTTCATCATTTTCAACAGTCTTTAGTGATGGACAGATGATGACGATGAAAGGATGTGTGACCAGAAGTTTTTGTATGGGTGACTTGTCCACCAAGATCGGTCAGTCCAGCATAGCGGCGGAACAGAGCTGCTGTAAAGGTCATCTGTGTAACAGCGCTCAAACAGCCACTCCGAGCCACTTCTTTCAGCTGGGGATTCTGATGTACGCCATACTACAGACGTCATTTTGAGCTTTCAATTCTCATGATTCTCTGAGGTTTCAATTTTACAAAAATTTTTTAAATAAATAAAATCCAGCCAACATTCTTGCATGTTGGTTATATCGATTCAATGATCATCTAAATATATATATTGTTAATGCCTGATTCTAGGATGTGAGTATTGGTGACATTAGAGTGCTTGTCAAGATCTTCATTTTGTATATACTGAAATTTTCATTTAGCCATTGTTGACTCTTCAAATATTCAACAAAAACAGATATAATGGCCAGTAACTGTGACTTACTCTTCTGATCTTTTTTTTTTAAACTAACATATCTTTGGTCTGAACAACCTATTCCTGAGAGACTGGTGTGTAACAGTGTACAGATGTTTACTGATTATATTTTCCTTTCAAGAGGGTGTAGATTTAGGTTTCTACATGGAATGTAGTTTCGATACACTAATATTTTGTTGCACAAATCCTCATGCCTTGGGCCTCTGAATTGTTGTGGACAAAGGAGATGAAATGTGATGATCTCAAAGCATCTCTTTGTGTTACATTTCTTTTTGGGACTTTTGTAGACAGTAATATATATATATAAAAATCACAAATGTGATATTGATTTTATACAACAGTTCAATGAGCAAGAAGTTAATATTAAGAGACTTATGTCTTAAACACCATATTACCTATTTTTTGCTCTATTTCGCCAACAAAAATGGTTCCAAACAAAGCCACAGCACTGTTTTGCATCTCAGAAAAACATTACAGTGTTTCGTTCCTGAATGAATCAACCATTTAAAAGATTCGGTTCAGTCGCAATGACTCACTTATTAACAGTGACTTGCTGCCACCTACTGGCGGTTTTAATTTCACATTTTAAAGGGGTCATATGATGCTGCTAAAAAAGAACAGTATTTGGTGTAACGAAATGTGTTTATGCGGTTTAAGGTTAAAAAAAACATTATTTTCCACATAATGTAAATTATTGTTTCTCCTCTATGCCCCGCCTTTCTGAAACACGTCGATTTTTACAAAGCTCATCAGTCTGAAAAGCAAGGTGTGCTGTGATTGGCCAGCTATCCAGTGCGTGGTGATTGGCCGAATACCTCAAGCGTGTGACGGAAATGTTATGCCCCTCACCATACTGTGATGATGCCGTCAGGCCGGAGCAATGATTCAAAAACATGAAAACCCATTATAAACGAGGCATTCGTGGCATCCAGTGGGGAAATTATTATGGATTATAATGACTTATACTGTCTTTTTACGCGTTGCGTTGCATCGCGCTGCGTTTAACACAAAACCATGTCTACATTTGTGATCGGAGAAATGACAAACAACAAGCCCTACTCTACACTGCCCAAAAAACTTGCTTTAAATATATAAAATATAAAAACTCTTTAAATATAAAAAACGTACTTACAGTCTTTGAGTCAGAACAGCCGGCATTGTAGTCTACTCTACCAGGATCAGGAAACAGTCCTCCATAAAATGTGCTGCACACATCTGAATATTTGGGTTGAAGTGTTCTGGAACAGTGTTGTAAATACAACTTAACCACTGATTCCTAGTTGTGTCCATTTTTGGAAAGCCAAACAAAGTAGTTTCACATTCACAACGAAACAGCGTCACACACGGCGGCCTACAGTGAGCAGAGGCCGGGGGCTAGCGTGAGGAACAGCAGGAGGGTTAGAGTGAGCAGAGGCGGGTGGGCTTGAGAACGGCGTGGCCGGCGATTTCAACGAAAGAGCGTCCGGAAGGACATGTGACGACTCTGGGCTGGACTCCGCTTTGTCCATGGTGAAAGCCGATCCGGCGATCGACAGCGCAAAGTTGTAGTATTTCCTCCGCGACCAACACAGATCAGCTCCAGGCATGACGAAGTGGATATCGTCCTCTTTTGGAAGACCAAACAAAGTATTTTCGCTTTCACAACGAAGCACACAGCATCTTCACGACATGGCGGCAGAAACAACAAAACTACAGCAAGAATAAAAGTTACGCCTTCTTTCTTTGCGTGAACATTTGGGCGGCGTTATGCAAATCTTCCCACATAGCGACGTAGATATGTGGGGGTGTGTTAGAACGAGATGTTTTAGATAGGCGTGGCTGACTTAACTTTTTTTTAGGTTCTCAATGATAACGAGGACAAAACAAAAAATATGCATCATATGTATATAGTTTTATTTTATTAATTTTTTTATTATTGTGATAAAAAATTGTGTCAAGCCCCCCCCCCCCCCCCCCCCATGAATATATATTGTGTATATTCATACACAATATTTGTATTTACTACATATAACACCTTTTGTAACATTATAAATATATTTAATATCACTTTTGATCAAATATTAAATGTTATAAAACTTTTTAAAATTGATTTTATTAATTTATTGTGCGGAATTAAAAAAAAAAACCCCACAAACTTTTGAACTGCAGCATTCCTTACGTTTTCCCCTGATTACTATTTTTAGGTTAAATTATGATTTTAGGATGCCAAGAACGAATTCTTCTGAATGCATTTACATCTGATTAACATGATTTTACATTTCCTAATATGGTCAGACACATCACATTTGAACTAAAATAAATAACAACAATAATAAAAAAACACCACATAGTAAAATCATTGTGTTAAATTATTTTTTAATCCACTTACATGAAATTACATATTTTCCCTCCAAATAACATTTATGCTTGGGTGTTCTGTATGAAAATTCCAGAGACATGACACAAAGCTAGCCAGCCCGACAGTACTCCCTTTTCTCCCCATATTAACTACTTCATAGCCACATGCATATTAGGCAAGTATCAAAAGAAATTAATGGAAAAAGGTCAAAAAGAAAAAAAGAAAAACAAACCATTTCCTGGAGAACTAAATCACACTAGTATTTCCTACTGCTCTGCTTGTAGAGTCATACAGTAACAGTATCAAGCAATATGTGCTCTTTGTTCTTAGGGTCCTCTATACCTCGTAATTAACAGGGAATAAGTAAATGCCATTTGCAGGGCACCAAATGCCTGGAATAATAAACTTGAAAGAGACATAAAATGGAATGCAACTTCTTTTTTGCCCATCATTTTGCAGGACGTGTGAGCGAGCAGTTCACTGTATGACGTGTGACGCTGCCATTGCTTCTTTCCTAGCTAAAGCCTAGCACTGCTGTCCTCACCTCTACTCAAAGACAAGGGCTGTTTATAATGCAGACACTTAAATTGCAGGTGTACTTAATGACTATGACAAATGTCTCCTCGCCAGAGATTTACATACAGTATACGAATAACAAAAGGGTTTAACTTGCAACTTTGCATGAGCTGAGAACTTGCCTCACCCGCATTTCTTCCATGCTAATGTGACAACCTAGAGCTCCCCATGGAGAAAACAAGGTTAACAGCAGACAAACCTCATCCCCTCCCGGTCCCCCC